CACTCAGGCAAACCTCCCCTTTATTTTATCCAAACATATACATTATGCTCCAAGTCAGTGCAACCTTAACAGTCATTTCATGCGATTGTGAGGGTTCCTTCAATTGACTGAGGAACCTCAAAAGGTACCTGCAACTTACAATGAAACAAGACAGATTAACTTGCCTTGTTGAATGTTTATAGAAATATAAACATAAGTACAGTGATGATGAAAGAGCATCCTTCAACGCAAAATCAAAGCAATTAATCTTTATTCAGGATTAGTTTCTAAATTTAACACAAAATCAAAGCAATTAATCTTTATTCAGGATTAGTTTCTAAATTTAACACAAAATCAAAGCAATTAATCTTTATTCAGGATTAGCTTCTAAATTTAACACAAAATCAAAGCAATTAATCTTTAATCAGGATTAGTTTCTAAATTTAACACAAAATCAACGCAATTAATCTTTAATCAGGATTAGCTTCTAAATTTAACACAAAATCAAAGCAATTAATCTTTATTCAAGATTAGTTTACACATATAATATGAAGAAATCATACACTGGCTTTTAGAAACAAACCTTGATTTATTGAGTTACATTTTGGATTACATTCATTTACCACATTTAATTTCAGTTAATTTGATTTATTGTGTTGACTTTTGTGGTTTGGACTATTGTAATGATGAGTGTGAAATGTATACAGTATTGAAAATAATGGTCTTGTATATATTCCTTAATTATTAGTAAAAGACCAGCATGTTGTTTTCTTTATTATTAAAGTATTATCCAATCTTATAAAACAAAATTTTTAATTACTTAAAATTAAAAGTATATGTATACTACATGAACACTTGATGGTCTAACTGTGCCCCCCCCAAGACTACCCTGTCTGGGTCCGGCCCTATAAGGTCATGGATAAACACTGAGAAAAAAAAAGTTGCACTATTTATTAAATAAGTATTAAAAATATAAGTCAGCCACACTACACTAAAAGCAGTGTCAAATATGGTCTTTCAGTAGTTTTGTTAAATAATTGTTTTTAAAACTAAGCTTACCAAATCAGTTCCCAAATCAATACACAGAATAGTTACTGTTCCTAGTGGAAGTGGCACATCAGCAATAATAAATAGCAGAAAAGGACTGATCTCAGGGATATTACTAGTCAGAGTGTATGCAATTGATTTTTTCAAATTGTCAAAAATCAAACGACCTAAGAAATAAGGAAAATATTTCATTTGTAGAACACCTATTAATCTAAATTTGAGGTTCAATTTTGTATAAAAAAACAGTAGCATTAAAATGCCCCAAACTTTGTAAATCAAAGATTCATCAATAACTGGGTCTTTAAATTTTTACTTCCAGTTTATATTATAATCGATTATACAATACAGTGTGGCAAAAATAGGGGCAATTTACATTATTAAAGAAGCATTTTAAAAACTTCAAAAAAGTTTATTCTGTATATAAAGGGTTTCCAGATATTTTGGGCTGTAAGTTCAGTCCAGCTAAGATGTTATAGTACTGAACAAAAAACTGACTTGTGAATGATGACCAATACATCTGAAATTATATTTTTCTTTATACACCTCTGTTAGAAATCCCTGAAGGATTAAGGAATGCAAGAAAAGCTCTTGAGCTTGATATTAATTGCATTTGTTATATCTGCAAATAAAAACTTTACACTATTTCACTCACTACTGAAAATCAGACTTAACTATTTTGTTACAATGTTTTGATGTCGACAGGATTCCAATTTGATAAGACAAATGATGATGATAGGATTTTTCTTTTGATTAATCAGCTCAAAAATTTAAATGACGGGTCAAAATGAAATTTGAATATAATTGTCTATTTATAGAAAATTACTTAGCAAATCAGAACAGTAATTTTCCATAACAGTAATTTTTGCTTGATATGCAATTAGTTTCATTATTACATTGAGCTGAAACTAAAAACAGCATACAGTTATGAATATAAATGTAACATTGTATAATCGAAGGATTAAACAACAAACTTAAAACATTCAGCCAAATGTACTGGTTTTGGGTTATTCATCCTTAATTATCTGAACTACGTATTATGGTAAACTTAATTGACACAAAATAATCTTACTTTAAAGATAATCCTGTTTGTTTGTTTGTGTGTGTCAGCATTCATCACTCTGAATCAATTACCATAATTTTTGTATGGTAGCTAGAAAATGTCTGATGTTATACATGGGCTATTTTGTTGTTTTATGATTTTTGCCCAAGAAGGTGGATAAAATAAAGACCCTGAAATAGGACACACTTCCAGTTTTTATTGTAAACTTTTCACTTAAAATTTTAAAGACACAACAAGTACTTAATCAATTAAATGAGAATTAGCTTCTAACGATGTCATTTGGGATTTAGTAATTTAGGATTTAATATGTTGGGAATTAGCTTCTAATGATGTCATTTGGTATTTAGTAACAAAAGAAAGAAAGAATATTATTTAACATTGTCCTTTATACAATTTTTGCTTCATTAACTCTTTAAACCCATAATTTTTTTTTACACATTATGTCAAAATTATTTTCATTATTTCCTAATGATTATCACTATACCTTTTAAAATTTCTGGTCTGTTTATAAAAGATGGATAATAACATGGTATGGATTAGTTTTCAGCTACAGAGACAAATGTTATCAGAGACTGTCACCATCCGATGGGTAAAAATTGGGATTTTTGGACAGACACTAGCAGCATTTGCTCAGGTTTAAGGAGTTAACAAGTACCCTCAGCCAGTTACATATAAAAAATAAATATAACATTCTTTGGGGGAATGGGAGTCAAATATCAAGTATAATATTTTTCTTATTAGGAAACACATCCCTTCCTCAAAATGTACATGAATTACTCATACACATTTTCTTACCTTCTTCAACACCTGTGACAATAGATGCAAAGTTGTCATCAAGGAGTATCATATCAGCAGCCTGTTTGCTTACATCACTTCCAGCAATACCCATAGCAACACCTGAGAAACATGTTTTCTTGTATAAAGGAGATTAACTGTTAGAATAGATTAACTTTTACATCTGATTACCTATATGGAACACAAATTCACACAAATACATTTTATTTAAAAAACTTGCATGCTATAAACTAAGCCAATGGGAAGTAAAATTTTACTTGCTGTGAGGCTATACATTTAATGAAATAAGTCCATTACAAAAACTGTCTAGTCAGGAGCTAGATATAGAGATACTTACCATAAAATTGTAAACTATTTGTGGTTTTACTAAATGACTAACATTTCCAAGCAACAATATATCACTAAATTTCTGAAATTACAACATCCAGTTCTATTACAATTGATTTGAATTATTTTACTATAAATATAGCTTAAGTATTAACACTTTAGCAAAAGGACAAGTCAAATTAAAGCAAAGCCCATCAAAAATTTATATTCACACCGAATACAAACAGATAATATTCTCAAGCTCTTCAATATTTCATTTTAAAAATATCTGATGTGCAGAGTACCAATACATTAAAAGATAAGACAGACAGACAACTTTGATATATATACTAATAACATACAGCTGTAATTAATAACTGAGCAATACAAAACATTCTGCAAAATCTTCATAAGAATTTTGCATTTATCCAGCTGAGTTTTAAATTCTACCTAATAAGAATAGGGGTTAAATCATATAAAATGTCCATATCTTCTATTTTTTTAAAGCTCAAAATACACTTTGATATAACAGCACACTTAAATTTCTTTCCCAACATTGAGCATACTGTTAATCTTTCAGTAATCAAAATGTTGCCATTTGTTGTTAAGCTCAAAGCTATACAATGAGCTATCTGTACTCTTCCCACTAAAGGTATCAAAACCTGATTTTTAGCATTACAAGTTGTTGTTTTTTTAAGTCTCTCATGTTAATAATTGACTAATAAGCATGATGATTAATCTATTAATAAATTCCACTATTTAGTCAGCTCTAGAAATATAACACTAAAATTTCTGTTTTCAGTACATCACTTATAAAGAGAATGAGAAAAGTATTGGGTACTTTAAAATATTTTGTTCTCACTTTGAACCACGCATGTAAAACATTACCTCAAATTTAAGTAAACATGAAATCACTCTAATAAATTAAAAATTTTAAATACAAGAATCTAAGTAATATTAATGATAACTGATATTCTGGTTTTTATCACTATGCTAATTTATTCATGAATTTTGATGATCCATTTAATAAATGTTTTTAGTGATATTCAATAAAACTTTGTACGCCAGAAAAAGAAAACTCAATAGCATGAACTTAAAACTTTATCAAATCTAACATCACTTCTCTTTGTATATACAGTGAAAAAGAGCATTTCATTTGTAACTATTAATTTAAATTTCTATTTTGTTGCAATGGCCCTTTTAAAGAATACTATTTATCCTCTCTCTTCTGAAAGACACTTATGTCAATGCTCAATATCAGCATGACTGGTATTTCAATAATTTTTTGTAGCTGCTAAATTAGATGTGCAAGAATGAATAAGGTGTTGTAAATTTACTTAAAGTTCATATTCTCGTAATTCATAACAATAAACATTTTTGGATAGTACAATATACTTTGAGTATATAAAGCTTTTAAATTTGAAGAATCTTTATTTTTAATTATGTTTTCTATGAAAACAAACAAGTTGTACCAATATCAGCTTTCTTCAAAGCAGGTGAATCATTGACACCATCTCCTGTCACAGCTACAATTGCACCCAAACGTTGACAACCTTCCACAATGATAAGCTTCTGTTGTGGTGAAGTCCTGGCAAACACAATCTCAGTATGATATTTTAAAATATCATCCAAGTAGTCCAAAGACATTTCTCGCAAATCAAATCCATGGACAACGGCCGCTTTTGCATCCCTGTAATCATGTTAACATGTACGGTGGATGTGTTTACAAATCAGTAAGATGAAGATTTGTTTTCTTTAAAGAAAAGTGATAGAAATAAAGTGTTCATAAATTGAAAAAATAATAAATACTAAACAAAATAGTAAATGATTCTTTACTGCCTGGTGATAGTATCTTGGGGCTTAACTATGATCTTCCAATTACACTTGGCAACTCAAAATTCCTAATATGAAATCCTTTTCAATATTATACAAAAATACTTAGTAACTTTAGTTTACAAAATAATATCCAAGTTAAACTCAAAATAAGATAAAAAGCATTGAGTTATATAATTCATTGTAAAGAAAATGCACAGGTTATAAATAATTCCCATTTCTTGAATTAAATCTATTTTTATTAAATACAAGAGTCACCAGTAATACTTACATTTTCTTAAATATTGTTTTTAAGTGAAATCACAAATCAATGTTACAATTCTCTATTTCATTAAGTATGATTTAAATTTTAAGTGATAACTTTATGCATGTAACTCATGAAACACAAATGCTCTATGACATTCATTAATTCTCAATTGGCATGTGTAGATGAAAATGGTTTGAATAACCATTAGCTGTTCTTTACCTGGGGTTCACTTCTTCAACTGCAATGTTCAATCTTTGGGCTATGTCCTCAACTGTTTCGTTGCCTTCTGATATTATTCCAACAGCCTTTGCAATTGCTTTTGCTGTGATTGGATGGTCGCCTGTCACCATGATTACCTATAACATAAAAAATTTAAACCAAACACTATGATTATCTATTATTTAAAAATTAATAAGCATTCATACCAAATAAGAAAATTCTTTGAGCATTAGGATGTTTCATGAACAATTGCATTATACCTTAAAATATATTTCAATTTCATTTGTAATAATACATAAAGCAACTGATTTTATGTCCAAGAGTAATACACTTTTAATATGTATTTCAATTTAATTTCATTGATATTATATTGGTTTTACTTCAACTCCATGCTATGATAAAAGTTTTACACAAGTTAAATTTTAAAAATGGAAGTCCATCAATACATTCAAACACAATTTATATTTTGAATTGTGATTGAAAAAAGGTCTTTAGTTATACAATGGTTTAGCAAACCATTTAATTTGATATCAAAATAACTTACTTTTCTTAATGTTCTTGGATGAACAAGAATAGCTATTTATGTGAATGGAGGTAATGTGCCGTATCGGAATGGAACTTTTATACATTTGAAGAGTAATAGAATTAATGTTATCTTGTTCATTTAATTTTGAATAATAGTTTAGTTTACAGTTTTGTGCTCTAATTGTGAAGTTATTTGCTTCTATAGAGTCTCTTGTATGCACTTGATACATGTAGTTCTTTTTTAAACCTTGAATTTGTTCATATATGAACTTGTATATAGACACCATTTTGAAATGCTGATTATTTTGTCAATAATCATGTGTATGCATAATTTGTATATATATGTATATATTTGATAAATATCAAAATACTGATGAATACTGTTTCAAAATTATGCTTACGCACACATGAAATTGCCCCAATACATAAAAAAAATGTACAAAACTGAAGGTTTATCAGCATCTTATACCTAAAATCATCAGGCAAAACTCCAGCAAAATTAAAGCATTTAGTAGGATAATAAGTAGGAATTTTAAACTAAGCATGTTATGAAAACCTATTTTTTCAACGTTAACTATTGATCGAACCAGTGAATTTACTCTGAAACACTCTTGCACTGTTTCAGATGGTTAAATCACAAATATACATTTTAAAATCACAAATATATCATTGTTCTTATATGTATACCCCTTTTACAGGCTGAACTCTGCCTTTCAAAAAATTTGGTATCCACGACTATCAAACAAATGTCATACAGAGTATTATACATTCACATCTTCTTGGGTATTGTAGGATTTTTAGCAATGTACAGTTCTTAATATTTAATATATTAGTGCAAAAACCGATTTTTAATGGTTTTGAATAAAACATATTACATACTTTAAATTATTTTATAATAAATATAAAAAATATTTATATAAATTTGGAAATAGTGATATAAACAAAATTATAATGTACACAGTAAAAAAAAATAAAAGTTTCAAAATTTATTGGAAGGGAAATATTTAGAATTACTTATTTGAACATTTTATATCTTATAGAGAGGGACTAATGTAGTTGTATTACCTTCCCTGTAGTATAGTAATACCTTAACATCTTAATTTTCATGTTCAAACAACATATTGGGGGCTGGAATGCTAATTTCAAGGGCAGCTTTGCTATCTCCCCCATTGATGTATTGTAAACTAATCAGTTCTTTTTTATTATTGTTTTTATTTATTTTTTTGTGAGCAACCACCTTCTCACATCTGGCTCCAGACAGCAAAATGTGGTAAGGATTTGGGACATTGTGGGCTAGAAGACCACCCACATCTGCTCCATTTCTTTTTTTATTCTAAGCATGTGAGATTTCAAGTGATTTTGTTACAGTTAGTGTTAAGGTAGAGAAATTTAATGGTATTTGTACAGCAGCTATCATTTCTGTGAAACTATACATAGCAATGTAGCAATGTTTACTATAATTCTGGATTTACAAAGTGTATGTTCAGGACATTTGGAAAGCTTTTAGTAAACATCAGAAGTATGTTGTACACACACACACACACACATCAGAATTTTTAATACTATATTTCTACTAAAGATTTGCCTGAATTTACTAAATAAATCTCACTCATACTAGTCTAAGTGCAAAGTGATTTTGATGTTAAGAACAAAAAACACTTTCATCTAATAGTTATTATATTTCATTTGCATATTATTCAGTTAGGAAGTTCTAGAGTTTAAAGTTTTTATTTCAGTTGTTGTTGTTGTTTGTTATTAAGCACAAAGCTACACAAAGGGCTATCTGTGCTCTGCCCATCATGGGTATCAAAACCTGGTTTCTAGCAGTATCTTATTTCAGTAAAACGTTTTCCCTACCCTATAACAGTAATGGTAGCAAACGTTAAAAATCAAATCAAGAATAAATTTTTTTATAAAATGACTGCAGATTGTAATAGACAATTATAAGTATTTATCCTAAACAGCCTCAGGCTTTTAACAGTTTACATCTGTCTTCATATAATTTTATTGTTTTATTTCTTTTTGAACCATGTCTCCAAAGCAATAATTCATGAGGCAGGTGGTTAGTGTAAGTTAGTATAAACAAAGTATTGAAATGTATTATGAACAATGGCAGCTTGTGTGCATTCCTCCCAGAAAAATTCAGTCTCCCTCCCTCACAGATGTAGGATTAAAGATGCTCTAAAGGTTATGCAAATAAAATATGAAAGCTTCAGATGAAAAGTTATATTATTCTTAGCATCAAAATAACCTTTCACTAAGACTGGCTCAGTAAATGCTTCATAAACTAAGACAATTATTCAGTAAAAGTAATTTATTAAAAATCGGATTTTTTTTTTATGCACAGACATGTAATGTTTACTAAAATTGTTCCAAATTTTGTGAAAATACATCTAGTACATCATGTATAGTTTCACAGTTAGATGATGGTTACAAGGACAGACACATTGACCAAACCCATATACTGTATTAAGCACGAGAATGGTAAAAGACTTCAAATAGATTATAACACCATGTTTTTATCCCATAAATGTTGTGCTTTCAGCCAGCTTTTTTTCAGAATTTATAAGTAATAAAGAATTTTAAAATAAAACTTGTTTTACAAAACAAAATTCTTTTGTGTGAAACATTTAAAATACTTATACAATATACCTTAATACCAGCACTTCGACACTTAGCAACAGCATCAGGAACAGCAGCACGTGGAGGATCAATCATAGAAATGAGTCCTACAAATCGCATGCCTGTCATTGGAAAATTCATCTCTTCAGCATCAAATGGGTATCCTGGTGGAAACTTGTCTGCTGGAAGTTTAAAGTCACAGAAGCCTGGAAGAAATATTTCTTTGTTTAGTGAAAGAAATATTGAGCAATTAGTGATCTAGCTTTAATCTAATCATTATTCCTTAACTTTTTCTATTATTTCCTCTAGAAGTAGGTGTATATTTTAATGAAATAGTGTTATATAATCAGAATTACTTTATATTTTCAACTATAACAGTACTTTATGAGACTTTTAGGATAAACTGCTAGGACAGGCAGAGCCATCCCTAGTTTACAGCTGTTGATTAGTAAGGCAATTACTCAGCAGAACTCGCCATCTATGCAGCTATTCTTTACTAACTGAAAAACAGTTATAAGTGCAAACTCGAAAAAATTTTGACGTAGAAGAAAATGGTAAAGTAAAGTAGCATTAAAGTTTACCTCCACTGAAATCCCCATAGTTAGCTTCTTTTGTGAACAGTAATAAAGCATGACAAAATATTAAGTGACAGTTTGTGAAAAATACAAAGTTCCATTGTATTTTTTTATAAAGTATAGGTAAATACTGTGTTATGTTTAAAGCTGTGTGAACATAGAAATAACACAGATTTAAATCAAATTCTGATAATTTGCTAAATAGAATATAAAGTAGTGGTGAAAAACTCACCAACTTAAAGTAATTTTATTAATAAGTTGTTGTTATTTGTAGTTAAGCATAAAGCTACAAAAAGGGCTATCTGTGCTCTGCCCACCATGGTTATTGAAACCCGGTTTCTAGCAATGAAAGTACGCAGACAAAGCGCTGTGCCACTACAGGGTTTTTTTTTTCCCCCATTAATAGAACAACAAAAGAATGTTTCAGGCAAAAGCCCTTCATCAGGTTACCAGTGACAATGAAACTGTTAATATAAGGGTTAGGTTGAAAGAACAAATAACACGTAGCTCGAAGGCTCGAGAACATGTTCCTTCAACTACAAATGAGCAAAGGGAAGTAACATATATAAAAATAATAATAATAAAAGTATAAAAATTGTATAAATATAGTTAATAGTAGTAAATAAACTAATAAAAAAAAAGAAAATGTAGAACAAAAATACAAGCAACAATGTAAGAAAATTAATGAACACTTGCATCCTTTCCATGTTCCCATCCTACACTTTTTCTATACTTTCTCACACTGACATTTAGTGTCTACAAACTTTTTGTTCAAGTTTTTTTCCTCTAGTCCATTTACTTTAGTCACCCACTTTTGTGACCTTCATATTCTTTACTTTTTACCATTGTTCTTCACTCCTATTAAGTTCATATACCTTTTTATAGTTGTATCCCTTTGAACAATATTACCTGATGCAAGAGTTCATTCATTTTCTTACATTGTTGCCTGTATTTAAATTATTGCATGTACATTTCATAGGCAAGCAAATACATACTTTTAACACTACCAATTTCACATTAAAAGTTGTTTGTAGAGCAAAAATTAGACCAATGACTGAACCCATTCTCTTAACCTAATTACTGACAAATTCACTACTTCTGTAATTATAAGTTCACTGCTTACTCTTCATTTATTATTATTAATACTAGTACCATGTAGCATTTGTCTTTTCTAAGTGCTCTCAAACTTCCAGTGCTGTTTGTTTGCATGTTGAATTTCATGCAGTATTACTCGCGGGCTATCTGCACTTGTCATCCATAATTTTGATGTCAAAGACTAGTAGGAAGGTAGCTAATCAACACCACCCACAACCATTTCTTGGATTACTTTATCTAATTTAACAGTGGGATTTCACAACTCTTGTAATGACATCCAAGTGAGGGTAGACTTTTTTTTCTCTTTCTTTTGTTTGGTGCTCACAGGGCACCAACTAAAGAATTTCTGATCATCAGGTAAGTTCTCTAATCACTTGGCTGTGCTCAGCTTCTAGTGTTGTATTCAAACATCTTTATAAAATTAATGCCAGATTCTGCTGTCCAGACTTTGTTTACTACTCTTTTAAAGGATACTCTAAAAAAGGTATCAATAATTAGGGATTTATAAGATTAAATTAGGTAAAATTATTTTTAAAAATCTGTACGTAAAGAAAAACAAACTAGCATTTTTTAAAGATATGGAAACCAACCTGGAAGCTTAAGTAGAAGGTAAATACACAGTGCCATATAAAGTAATCCAAATAAGTTTAGATCCACTATTAGGAACAACAACAATTTACGTGGATACAACTGTTTTCAAATCCTCTTTAGTCCAATTTTTGTTCACAATTTAATGTTCTCTAAGTTAATAACTGGTTCATTAAAAAAAATATGAGTACATAAAACAGCTAAACAACTGTTGTTCAAGTCTTAAGTCTGAGATGTTAAGGCTGCAATTCAAGAATCTGCTATGCTGGTAGGGGCCAGCATGTTTGTTAAAAAAAAACACATATTGTCCTTTGAAAAACAGAGATCCTTGCTTTTATATACTCTCTTGTAGTCTGTGGAATGAAATATTTTACATTTACAGTGCTCAACAAATATCTTGTCAGTTCACATGATCAGTCTTTATTATATGTGCAAATAATGGACATTTCTACAAATATGTGGTGTGTGGGATAAAGTGATCAAATCAATTTACAATCAACTGCAAATACATTCTAATTTGGCAAGTTAAGCCTTTTCTGACTGAAATATATCTGTAGCTGTTGGTTACATATGAATGTCAATAAATTTAAACCTATGAAAATCATATCTTCTCTTTCAAGTTAAAAAGAGAGAACCACCTATTTTAACATTTATATGTAGTTTGTTTTTAAACACACACAACTAAATTAGTATATATATTAATATATGCAACAATTTAGAAGAGGTAAAAAATATCATTATTTCAATTCAACTATAATAATTAGCAAGTATAATTACAGAAGGCTCACAAAAGAAGCAACTCTGTTACACAAAAACATTTATTTAACATGTATATATATATATATATATATATCTGTGTGTGTGTGTGTGTGTGTGTGTGTGTATTTTATGAATACAACAGTCAAAGTATCGCATTTTGTAGTTTATTACTTTTAATTAAAAGGAAATATAGTTTGTGTAACGAAAAATTTACAATATTATATCTATGTTAAACCAAAATGTAAAGAACGGTATTTTACCAATCACACGTTCTCCAAGTCCTCCCAGTTCCAAATAAGCATTGTTAAAAGCTTCTTTCATCTCTTCATCAAGGACTTTATCCTTCCCATTTATGTAGATGGTAGCACACAAGTCCAAGATTCGTTCTGGAGCTCCTTTCATGCACAAGATATAGCTTGAATCTTCATCTTGTGTTTCATGAATAGTGAGCTGAAAAAAAATATTAAACTTACTTAACAGAATTATTGTATTTTTTTTATTATTATAATAATTATCAGGTGCATTTCTTATATTTGACAGTAAAAAATTATGATCCTAGGTTTGCTAACAAATGTTAAATCTTTAAGCCAATGTGAATTAAATTTTGGTGCTGAACCATACATTTGAACAAAGTTAATTGTTTTGTACTCTACATGTGATTTGATATTTATTTAGTTTAACATTATCTATTTTGAATTTGCTAAAGTACATAACCTAAATATTAATTTATACTTATAAAAGTATAGTTAAATTGGAACACTAAAGTCTTGGAGTTTTTGACATGCATAAGTACAGTATAATGTTTACGTAGAAACTGAATGAATATTAATTAGAACCCTGTCTAATATTGGAAAGTACCTAGAAAGTGTTGACCCTCAAAAAAATAATCAATGCATAGTAAAGTACATCAACAAATATGCATGTTTGTTCTAAAGAACAAGTATTACATGAAACTTTGAATTCATTCCTTTTTGTTTGATGTGTGCTATTGCTCACAAATGCATGGGCACATCAGCAAGTCTAATTATGCATGCTATTTGCCACAAGTGTGAAAGGCCATATTCAGTTACATGTCACAGTACAATTTTAAATAATCCCAAGGAAAGTGGAAACAGGTTATCTACAAAAATGAGTTGAGCAGCATTGTAACAGAACTTTTATTCAATGTAAAATGCCATTCAAAAGATGGCAGCCAAACCAAGGTGATTCAAATGCACAAATGAATTTGCAAGTGTGAATCATATGGGTGTTTAATGATTTGTTATGACAGGGAAATGGAAAGAAAACATTTACCTTTTAACGTTAAAAATATTTGCACTATATTAGCATAATATGTAATAATCTGATTTCTTGTATCCTTTAAACATTTTAAAATTAAAGTTCACACATGGTTTTTCTCATGAAAAGGCATGTTTTGAGCTCCCCCCCAAAAAATCAAGTTTCTAAAGGAATGTGTGGATATTAGCATATACTTATTTTGTTTGTATGTGTAAAAAAATTTTTCATGGATGGATCAATGCACGAGAGGCTCAACTATACTTGTGAATAAAAGTCTAGTCATATATAAATCAATTTAATAAGGAACTTGGTAGAAAATAAATATCAAAATATCATCCTTTGGAATAAATAGAAAGAAGGCTGGTTTACATCAAATTCAGTTTGTTCACCACTGGCACTGTTTAGAATAAAACAAATCACTAGCATATGTATGGACAGAGGATCATTTGTTAACTAGACAACTCTGCTGACAACAGGAACAAGTACACTTGTACACTATGAAAATAGCATAAGAAATGTTGATACCAAATATGATTACTAGAAACTGTTATTATTATTATTATGATTAACACAAACTGTACATTAGTGTACAAGTTGGATGAGCATGTAGAATTATCAGGAGTACTGGCTTTTGATTGAGTATTTTCTGGAGTAAACTGAGATAAGTTACCAAGCACTTACACTGCTACTACAAAATTCCATAAGTTACATAAAACATATGCTTTTTTTTAAAGTAATGGACTTCAGTAATAATAACAATAAAAAATACAAAAGAATGGAATTAAAAAAAAGAAGACAATGCATACAGTGAGTTTGCTGTTATATTAATTACACTAAATTTGATTACCAAGAAAGAAAAATAACAGGTTTTATGATAGAGGAATCTGTCTGTTGAAAAGTAGAATATTCTTAAATAATTGAATGAATCATTTTTATTGGCTAAGCATCATGAACATTTTAATATAATCAGCTTTTAGAAAAGTGAAACTTGGTAAGCATAATGTTAAAAATTTTAATAATGATAATATGTTAAATATGTAGAACATTTTAAGCCTGTTTTTTAGATTTAAATGCCACATATATTATCAAAACACATGGCAGTGTATCATGTGGCCAGAAAAACCTGCAGGACACACTGTGTTATTAACAAGAGTGATAGTTTAGCAATTTTCCACTTTCTGTAACTCTGTAATTCAAACTATCACATATTTTCAGTGGAATGAACCCTTACTTCACATATCAAATTTTAAGGCAATCCATTAAGAAATACATGTGATATAAAATCTCAAATTTTGATTGAATTTCTTCCTATTTTTTTTCTTCTTCTACACTG